TGCTTACTTCCCAACTGGCCCAGCTCCAGGGGAATCTTGACATCCTCCCACTGATCTGAAGCCCTCAAAGTCAGTCCTCTGATAAAAGAGAAAGCTCTTCATGCTGCACATAAGCTCACTGTCCACTTGACTGTCCTCTCAGCCGCCCAGAACACATCCTGGGTGCTCAGGGGTATGTTACTGACTGATGCTTTGGGAGAAAGTGCATGTCCTCAACTGATCCGAATGTTTTCTACTTTGTTCTCTCAGGATGGTGGCGTGCCTTTCATACTTTCCCCTTCGTTTATTCAATATTCCTTCCCTAACACTTCTGCATTTTCTGTCACCTGCAGGTTCAGTAAGAACCTACTGCGGGCCAGGCACCGTGCTTGGCTTTGGGGGGCTGAGATGGGTGGGGGTGGCCCTGCTCCCCAGGGGGAAGCAGCGGGGTGACAGGCGGGGACCAGCACCGCCTCTGGTGGGCGTTGGAGAGGGCAGCTTCCCAAAAGAGGAAAAGACACGGAGCTGAGTTCTGCAGGCAACGCTGTCAGCTAAACGAAGACAGGTACCGGCAGGAAGCAAGAAAGCCGTGCGGCAACCCAGAGGACTGACGTGGCGGGGCGCTGCCGGGCTGCAAGGGTGGCCAGGATGGCTGGCCCTGTTAAGGAGTTTGTTGACCCTCCCGGTCTTCATGGTCCCCTGGGCGGGTCCCCAGGTGTCCCGATGCCCTCCCGCCCCTGCGCGCAGCGCCCGCCTACCTTGAGCTGCTTCACGAAGTGCTTGCCCACGGTGATGCCAGAGCTGGGGGTGCCCAGGATGATCTCGAAGTGCTCCTCCAGCGCCAGGCGCGCGCGGACGTGGGCCAGCCGCTCGTAGGCCACGGCGGCCAGCGGCGAGCAGGGCACGCGCAGCAGCACCATCAGCCCGTGGCCGCAGGGGCACTGCTTCGGGGAGCTGAGCAGGTTCTGCGTGATCTCCAGCGTCTCCACCGACGTGTAGTTCTTCATCTGCGGGAGGCCGCTCACGGCCATCAGCGCGGCGGCGTAGTGCTGCACGAGAACAAAGGTCCTGATCACCGCGCTGTGCAGGCGGGGGAACCTGCAAGGAACACAGAGACACCGCGCCGTGACGGCCTCGCTCGGACCCACGGCGTCCCGAGCCCGGCCCTGCGCTGCCGGCACGCGCCAAGACGTCCTCGCTCCGGCACCGGCTACTCCCGGAATAGGAGCGTGGTGCTGCCTTTAGAAGCGGGTTGTTGGAAACCTGATTGGAAGCCTCTCTGAGAAACCAAACACTAAAGGCCTTTGTTTTTTCCAGCTGGGAAACAAAATCATACGTTTGTTGTTGCTGTTGTTTCTTCTGTGTTTTTTACTTGGCACTTAGTAGCTGGCTCAATAAATATTTGTTCAAAGAGCAGATAAATGAATGACATAAAAGCCTGTTCAGTCCATATCAGCTTCCCTGAGGAGGTAGTTAGCTTGCCCCAGCTTCCCACTGGATACAGGGTTAGGGTTAACCACTACCACCATCCTCCAGATTTGGGGAGACAGTTCTGAAGGCACGTCGCTGCGTTCATTTCAGTTCCAGTGAGTTATTAGAAATATAACTAAATGTAATTTGACAGATGAATTACAAATCAGGTCATATCCAGCCAAACGAGGAATCCTAGTTCTTGCTTCAAAAACTATGGTCACCAGATGTGTCCCCACACAAGGTGGTGGCCACCCCTACAACCACATGCACCACTAGAGTGGCTCTGACCCACACGTCAGAAACAGACCCCAGGGCACCAGTGGAAAAACCCAGGTCACTGCATATCACTGCGCTTTGCAGCAGGAATAAATAAATTGGCAGCCAGTTTATACGCAATGCTCTTTTGAGTTTATTTAGCTGGAATGAGTCCCCCTGACTCAGTGGCTTCTTGGAGCAAACACAGAGTAGTTTCTTGCCCTAAAAAGGGAGGAGCCATACCATGACCATGCCACTCTGTGCACTCTCTCAGGGCAGCCAGCTGACCTTCCAGCAGCTTCTCTGATCACACCTCCGATAGCACCAGAACATGGCACACACCTTCCCACGACCCTCCTGCTTTGCTTCGTGCCTCCCCCAGCACTGCAACTGCTTGCTGGATTATTTCAACTGGAGGCTGGCCTGGCAAGCTTGCCATTACTGGTGCTGTCTCAGGAAGGTATAACTAGTCCATAGACTCCAACATGAAGGGAACTCAGTGGCCCAGGGACTGCTTTGCCTGTCCCTGGTATACTAGCCAAATCATGCCGAGGAAGAGAAGAGAGATGAGTGTGAAAAATATATTCAAAGGACAAGCAAGACAGAGTAACTGGGATCAGACACATCCTCTCACTTGAAACAACTGAAAATCTGGACAAATACAGCAAACAACAGCGTTTTTCAAGCCATGGGATATGAGGCAGTGAAAGACAGGGATCCTGAACCGTCTGAAACAAATTAGGTGAGCTCCCAGCTTGTGCCTGGAAAAAGTTTCTGGGATGCACTCGGAACTGGGGAACCTGGGCAAAGGTTAGTGGTCTCCCCGAGTTGAGGAGAGGAATTGGAGTCCAGGGAAACCACGGCAGCTAAAGATCACAGGGCAAAGTACCAAAGAGGAGAGAGCTACATAGACACAGGACTCTGGAGATCTGCAGAGGGTCCCCCTGAAGTAGTGATCAGGGCCTGTATGTAAGGAGACAACCCGAGGCCAAGAGAAGAATCCCTGGGTTGCAAAAGGATTAAAGGGAACACTGTCTCAAGCTCACACAGGGCTGAGAATAGTTCTTGTTCCCGCAACCAATGTGAAAGGGCCCCAGAGCCATGGATCACTGAGTACTTATTCAGAGGGTTTTGCTTCAGTAATGGGCAAAGTTAGCACCGGATTAAATACTGCTCTGGTCCTGCCTAACAAAGTTTAAAAGAAAGATCAGGAAGGATTAAACTATTTCTAAGTAACTTAATTGTATCTCAGAATAAAACTCAAGATTTAGAGGGATTTATAGAAATATAAATCTATCCAGCACCAAACAAGGTAAAATTCACCACGTCTGATATCCTCGCGAATATTACCAGGTATGTAAAGAAGCAGGAAAATATGACCCATAATAAAGGGGGCAGGGGGATCAATCAACAGAAACTGACCGAGAAATGACACAGATGACAGAATTAGTAGATATGAACATTAACACAATTATTGTAGCTATATTCTATGTATTTAAAAGGCTAGAGGAAAGATTGAACATGTTAAGTGGAGATATAAGAAACACACAAATTCTAAAGATGGAAACTATAATGGCTTAGAAAATACACTAGACCCTGAATTCTCATGGGAGCTACTATCTTCGTATATGCCCTTGCCCTGCCAGCCACAACAGATCGGTTCAGGTATGGAAACCCAACCTGGGATTTTTCAAACTATGAAAAAGAATCAGTCCCTTTCTGGAAGCTAGAGACCGTGAGGCTCAGCATCCACCAGGGGTACTGATTTTCAGCACGTGGAGGAAGCCAGTGTGCAGTGAGACACAAAAAAGCCAACACAGGGACACCAAAGACAACATAGTCTCGACAGTGTTTTAATAACTAAGTTTTCCTGAAACCAGCTCCCTCTCTGCTATTCTGTGGTTTATCTATTCAACCTTTCCTTTTATTTCATGAGTCAATACATCCCTCTTTTCTCTAAGAGAGTTCAGGTTGGGTTTTACCTGCAACAAAGAGTCCTGATTAATGAACATACACAGTAACTATGTACCACCAATTCATCATGTCATTGTGTTTCTCCGCAGGAATAAATAAATAAGGCGTATGTACACTGATACATATGCTATCTGAAATTGTCTTTTTTCTCTTAGGAACCTTGCCATAAAACTACCGTGCTTTTGTAAAAAAATAAATAAACTGGGTGGGATTGACAACAGATTAGACATTACAGGAAAAAGATTAATAAACCTGAAAACAGCAATAGAAACTAAAATGAAACAGAGGGAAAAAATAATGAATCAGGGAGCTATAGAACAACTTCAAGAAGCCTAATATAAGGCTGGGCATGGTGGCTCACTCCTGTAATCCCAGTACTCTGGGAGGCCAAGGCGGGCGGATTGTTTGAGCTCA